ATCCTTTTCTTCAGTAATTAATTTCTGGTTCACTGCAAAAAATGTTTCCATAATTCATGTGCTTAAAAATTCTAATTAAATGTCCACCCCCCTCCCCCTACATTGTCTAAGAAGTCATTTCTGTTTCCATGCCTTCGTGGTCCCTACCAACTGTTTCCTTGGCAACAGAAACATCTGAGACAGAACATACAAACGCAGACACGCAGAAGGGATCAAATGGAGCTCTGGGAACAATGCAGAATCTTCTCATTTACAAAAATCAATGGCTGTGCCATGACAATACTGCATAGAATTGTTGAAACATGTAGACACCAGAATAAAGAGTGTAAATAGAGATATTATACAGTTATTATTGGAAATACTAATAGCCAGTTGGGAACATGGATTCACTCCCTGGGAATTTTCATAAATAAGATTCGCTACATCTGAATAATCATTTTTATTTAGTTAATATATTTTATACTAAAGCAAATGCATCAAGTAAGGCATGCAGGGGCAATTCATACAAAAACGACATATAAACAACAATATAATCATGAGTATAATAATATCAGTAATATTACCAATAAGTAGCATTACATAGTGGTACATTTGATATTGAATTATATACCTATAAGTAGCATGAAGAAAACCATGTTTCGTTTAAAAACACGCAGAATAGGAAAATGTCAGACTGAACATATAAAAATATAATACAGCAGCCAACAATGGTTTGGGAGAGTGCTGGTGGCATTTAAAACATGGCACAGTGGGATTAAGGTTTCATTTTGTAGACATTTACAAAAGTCATCAGTAGTAAAAGTGTAAACATGCTTCAGAGGTCAGTCTATATTACAGGCATTGTTGTATTTAGTAAGTACATTAAAAAAAATTAAAAATTAAGTTACAGATATCATTACCGAGTATTTGTGTAATTAAGAATGCAGCATAGTCATTCAGAAAGGATTAACATAACAACAACGATTATAATAATGGGCATTTAAATTTCCCTAAAAGCACAGAAAGTTTAACAGTCAGATTTAGAGTAATATTATATATGTTATATAATCATACACAAAATACATAAAGGAAGATATTTCTCTGTTGTATCAGATAGAACAAGCAGGTCAAACATATGGGTATTTATGCACCGCTGAAAAAACAAACGAACAATATATAAGTGCAAAAGGCAATTTTTAAAAATCTTTAAAAAGACACATGCAGAAGTTTCATTCATTGAGTCAGGGTGTGAAGACAAGTCACTGGGCTGAGGGACTTATGAGAAAATCCAATAATTCTTGTAAACAGAAATACACAGCGTCCTTCTATATTCAGGCTAACATGCTCACCTTCTCTGAAGGAAGTGAAGCACAACTAAAGTGGATTTAATTCATGCAGCTTCACTCTAATCCCCAGTCTAAGGTATGAGTTAGTTATATGCAACACAGCTGCAATGAATATATGTGGGTTTATCTTCACAAATGAAGCAACTGTGCTCACGCAGATTAGGGCTACTGAATTGTATACTAATTACTAACTGCAATTAAACTTCACTCAACACTCAAGTTTAATATTGACCAGTTCAGCGTGTTTGTCTCTAAATCCTCAAGAAAGAAACCTCATATTACATTGCTTTAACCTGACAGAAGGTTGTTCTTCACCATTTCTCCAATAAAAGTAGCACAATTTACACTGAAAACAGCTGAGTGCCTTGGATTATTTCTATAATACCAACAGCTAAGACTCTTATTTGTGTGGGACTGAGAAGGCCAATGTTTTGTGATTTGTCCTCATCTTAATTCACCTATTCCCTAAATATGCAGAACATGCAGGAGAAGTCATTAAATATATAGATTTGTTAATATGCAAGGCAAACCTGTCGCACGTTACAGAAAATGCCCTGTGCAATAAAGTACAAATGACAGACAATATACTAATCAGCCTAATTTCAAAATATCATTCATCATTGTATTATTCAACTGATGAAGCATATAGAAAAGTTCTATTTTAAATATATGTAAAATTCCTTTATTTTACTTTCAAAGCTTTTTGGCCTGTTTACTCATGGACTAATGCAGGAAAATCTTATATATAAAGCAATGAATGTACAGTGAATATTAGATGGATTCTATTGTCGTAAGGAAGGACACTCTCACTATGCTATACATAATGTACACCTGTAATGTACACATTCTGCATAATACTATCCTGTTTGTATTTGTATGTCCATCCATCCATTTTCCATCAATATATGATTTCCATGTGTGCTGTGTCAGTTTATCCAAATAAATATTTTGCAACCAAAATTTCCACAAACTGTCTGCAAGTACCAAAAAATTATATTTTGTCCCTTCAATGCATTTCCTGCAAAAATCAGAGGGGCATACAATTTGAGTTCATAGAGAAAAATTAAATGTCAGTCTAAAAATGTCTTACAAAAGGGAATTGACCATTTCTGAGTACAGTTTTACATTCTATGATTATCTCATGATAATCTCAAGACATCATCTTACTGCAAGGTACAACACATCAAAACAAATTTCTAAAGTGTCACATACGGAAACTGCCGAGAGAGTCCCTAATGTTCTTAATGTTCAGCAAAAAAAAAATTACAAAAATAATTTACCTTAAACAATTCTACTGCCTGCCTAATACAACATGCAGATACTGAACGTTTCTAATAAGCCCTCTATTTGTTGTAAAGCATTCACCGTCTAAAAGCTAAATGTGAATTCATACACTTGCATCCTTCACACTTTCTAGCTAATTCAAATAATAACATACAAATTTATCTTGGTAATGCACTTATTAATAGAGTTTAGTAAGCAAATGCCAATGGCCAAGTAAAGATAAATTAGTAAAATTACAAAGAAATTTGGAAAAATTAGTAGCTGTCATGACTTTGTTGCAGTCTGAAAGGATTTACCTGGTTTTCTGATTGTCCAGCACAGAAAAGCAACCTTAGTGTAAATCCATGATCTAAAAGTTTGTTCATGAAACATCCTCTTCAGTCTCCTCCTTCATGTTCTTGCTTGCAATTGTTTCCTCCCTTGTTTCTTTTTAGCTCTTTTCCCTTCTTTTTTCCATTTCTTGTCCATCACCAGCTGTGTTATTCCTAACTGTTCTATTCTGTGTATGTAAAACATTTCTACTTGCATTTCCTGATATTTCAAATTCAATTTAAAAGAGTAGATAGGCATGAAAAATATCAGTATTCACCGAGTGGTTTGTCTCTTTTTTTACACTAATTGGGAATCTACATTCATAGTTTTGTTTCACAAAACTCCAAAATTCCAAATCAAATCATTCCTAATGATTTCAATGCTGGCCTTTGTTACAAATTAATCTTAATGTTAGATTATTATGCCACAGTTAAAATGGCTAAAATAGGTTTAATTGAAGAGTATTTTTTAATTTCATGGCTAAATTTCAAAATAGTATTAGGTATTCTCCTTTTCTTGTACATTCTTAAGAACGATTTCTCTTTATAATCCCCAGTGATTTTGGCACAATGTTCTTGAAGATCTTAAGTACAGTACATTTGCACAGGGTCACAGATAGTCTTCGCATACATCAAAGATGGTAAATTAAGGTTGTGAATGAACATCTATGTCAGACCTTTTCCTATTAATTTTTTAATGTTCACCATATTACCAATGGTATCAAGAGTCCTGGAAATATGCAAGATATTTTTGGTGTTACTCATTTAGTCAACTGCAGTCCCTCAATTTGAAATATAACATTTTGGTGTGGTGTAGTTTCTCAGAAGCAGTTAAGCTATATAAGGTTGACAGAATTGAGGTATAGGTTGTTTTACTCTCCATAGCTTGTCATTGAGAGAAGAAAGTACAGCCAATAGCATAGAGTTGGTAGAAGGTAGATGCTTCAATTTGATTGATGAAAAATAATCCAAATGTGTTGGCTGATCTTTAGCTTGGTCTGTGCAGAAGCACTACTTAGGATTTTAAAATAACTGCAAAAGATAAACAACTGTATTAGTGGGCAAATACTTAAAACGCATGTTCCTAATGTAGTTTCCTTCATGCACACAAGCTACCTTTCAGTCAAATACAACATGAGAAAGGCAAATTTAATAGACACTCACTGCCCCAGTTGATGATGAAGGCAGCAATGATGAGGACCCCTCCCACCAGGGAGACCACAGACAGTAGCTTGGCCACCCGGCCCAGACGTCGAGCACCATCTACGTTGCCCTCCTGTAGACTATTCCTGGACTGAGAGAAGAAGAGGAGTTCTTTCTGAGCAAAGACACACATACACACCCCAAAAAGCACACATATAGCATCTACTTACCATCACAGAGTAAACAAATCCCACTATGTTGATAGGCCAAACAGGGCAGAAGCAAGCCAGGATGGCCAGTATTAGATAGTCCTTGGGTTTGGACCCGTCTCCCGTGCCATTCGTCACGATGCTGGGGTGGCGAGACAGCGATGGCCGTGGCGACGCTGTCACATGACCCAGCGACCCCGAGCGGCTGCCTAGCCTAGCCCTGCCATTCTGAGAGTGGGTGTGCGATTTACCATGCGGGTGTCGAGGTGGGGAGGACAGAGAAGAGGGGGGGGTGCTGTCAGAAGGCACAGGGCAAACGCTATTCCCTGAAAAAGGCAAGCAGAAGGATGGCACCAGGTCAGCTTGCTGTTGCTCCCTTGCCCAAATAGACTCTTACACATCAATAGGCTAAAGCAGTAATGCGCAAGAAAATCGGCGTCGGAAGGAGTTTGACATTGGGGAGAACCGGGGGGTGACATATACTGTACATTGCAGTGGGCACACATGCAATAGCCACATGGTGACTAAAAACAGGTCGGTGTTTGGATGAATCAAATGACCTTGTCACAGTATTCATTAGCACAAATGATCAACATATTAAATGCATATGTGCTGTAAATACAACATGTAATATATTCTGATTCTAAACAAATATAGATGACAGCTGCAATAATGCAGAATTATGATTAATTTTCTATCAGGCCTGGACAGATGGTTACTACACCTGTTGATATCCATACTCTCAGAAAAAAATGGTAAAAATGTGTACCTTTGCTCGTCACTGAGGCTGTACCCTCAAGCCTCTGCCAACTGTACCCTTAGCTGTAGGTAACTGTACAGAAAGGTACAGAGAATGGAGGAACATTTATGTACCATTGTTGGTACATTAATGCTGTTTGTACCTTTGGGATGTTCCTCAGAGTCTGTACCTTAAAATGGTTACAATTACAAGGGTACAGCCCCAGTAACAAGCAAAGGTACACATTTAGCCTTTTTAAAAAAAATAAAAAAATAAAATGTAAAGTTAAGAAAAAAAGGAAGGAAGAAAAACAAGAAATGTCAAAGCCTGTTGGTGTAGAATATTTCCTATTTCCTGATGTTTTCCCAAGTTCTTCATAATGCTATATTAGGAAGTACAGGGGGCACCTGAGTCATGAAGTATGAACCCTAGGAGTTACACACATCATCCTGACCTGTTATCTGCTCTGGGTTGCCTTTCTGTTAAACAAACAAACAAACAGACAAACCAAAAGTAATATCTAAACCACCTTTACCATTCTCCATTCTCTTTTCATCAATCAGGACCACTTCCTCTTCAGATCGCACCTCCACACAAGGTGCAGAGTCAGCAGCAGGGGAGGCAGGGCTGGGGCAGGGAGCGGACTCTGAGGGCAGGAGAGTTTGTTGTTCCCCTGGCACCGATTGAGGGGTGGCTGGATCCACACTAGAAGCTCGCTGAGAGTCAGGCGCATGGTCAGCTTCCACCAGTTCTTCTCCAGGATCAGCTGACACGATGGCAGGATCAGGGATGGGCTTTGTGGTGTCATTGTTCAAAGCCATTATGCAGTCAAAATGTTTTCTTTCTCTCTCTGCTATTATTCCTGTTACCTCTATAGCACAAGATAGATAAACGGGAAACAAAAAGATAATGTATTACTGTATTACTACAGTCTTCACAAACAATGCAATTTCATTACAGTAACACACACATACACACAAAAATTCAAGCTATAGTTGCACCAGATATCAGAAGGAACAGCTTGGCTGATAAAACCAGTACGTTTTAACAGACAGCACTAAATCAGGATTAAAACCACGTTAAATAGTGAATGTGACTATTCCTCCGTATGTTACCTGTATTTCCAACTAAAAAGCATATATAAATAAACAAATAAACAGAAATGCTGCACTGGGCAGGGAAGCATATAGGAGCTCAAACAAAGCTGGGGGAACATTGAGAAATGTTTAGGATTCTTAAGGTATATGATCGATCAATTTAGCTAAAAGGAGTGATTTATTCGCAAAACATGTAAAAGTGAAAATATAATTTCATAGTAAATCATAGTACAATATTCCTTAATTTATCCCAACAATTGAGCGAGCGATAGACGGGCACGCCACCCAGTTTCATGTAGTATACGTACTGTTGAAATACAGTAGCATACATTTTATTTCTGCGGGGAAAAGAAATACTATCCGTTTTCAGTCCCACATGCAAATATTAAATTAATGAAAAGTATACATTTAAATAAAATATTCTGAGGAAATCGATCACAACCCACCTCAATGTAGTTATACCAATAGAAAGAACGACCCAACGTCCATATGTCGAATAACGATATGCATTTGCACTTCAAAATATCCACATCAGTAACGGTAACATTAATATCTCCCTCGATAACCAGTTGCCCGTACTAACCGTGAAATATTGCAATAAAGTATGCAACTTATTTGATAAAATCCGTAAATGCATGTGCAGCCTCCTTCAATCCCGGAGTTGTTTAGTACAACGATCGCATCCCGATTAAAACGTGATGTAGGTGTAAGGGAGCCGCCGTGATGCGGGAAAGGCGTGAGCCCCACGGGGGCGGGAGGGGACATGGGGGGGCTCCAGGAAAACAAGCGGGCGGAGAACAGCGCAAGGGAACAACCCATATGAACAATGAACACAGAGTTTCTCAGATGCTGTGATTTGCTGGCAAAATAATTAAAGGTCATTACTTTACTTATCTTGCATAGCAATCTTAACTGAAGATTATCGTCATAATATCATCTTAAAATTGTATATTTGTGTTCGCCTGTCCAGTAAAACAGGGAAACGCCTTAGAAATCGTATATACAGTGGATACACCTGCCAGTGCTCCGCTGAAACAGATAAATCGGCGAGGCGATGATCACGTTCTTAATTTACCGGAGCCTCGTCCACTACATTAATGTTATGAGTAAAACTGCTATTTTGACCTATACCGCTAATAACTAGATTCCTTACACCTTGGATTAAATCGGTGCAATATGTGGACGTAGGTGGTGCTAATCACCGTTAAACAGTAAACTGATATTTCTATGCCACCAAGCGGACGACTCCTAGTATTACGACATGATGTGTATTTCCCCTAATTTCACAATCAGACAAAATAAAAGTCAGGCAAAATAAAAAAGAAGAAATTAGGTGGTCGTTGAGTACTAAGTTTTAGTACGAAAGGGAGTTTATTATTTAATAGAGAAAGAAGAAAGGATTGCATTTTAAGACGCGTAGGAGTTAAGGATTAATTACGTACAACTAGTGCTGGTGAACCCATTAGGCGACCTATTATATTATTAGTGTATTTACCAATAGCGGAGCCAGAAATCATCCGGCATGCAGAAAACAGTTCACTTGGCGACAAAATCACGCTAAACACTGGAATACATTTTTTAAATAAAAAAACAAAGAGAAAGAAAATAAACCATTTGCCCCTCAGCAGCACTTTTCCTCCTTTTGATCTGACCACGCCCACATGCCTATCGGACACTGTATTGTATCGCCTCCGTGAGCTGAATGGCTGGACCGGACTTCGATCTGGGCCGCCGCGGTAGATATGTAAAAAGGTGCATTCGCCAAATTTTAACACAAATAAGGAAAAGGCTGGAACATCCATCGACAGGAAGTGCGCTCCCAGCAGATGTGAGATAGTGGCCATGCATTTTTGGCTTATCCTCAATGTGGGCATCTCCCTGCGTCATACTGTGCACTTTTATAACTATCAGCTCGAACCTTGCCGTGGACAGACTCGGTAGGGAAAAGGATACCTTGACAGATTCAGGGGGCCTAGCACCTTACAAGGGCGCATAAATCTGTGAAATTTACATAAAATTGAGCGAGGGCCCCCAGAATTAAGTTTAATATTATTCACAGAAGCAATAATATTAATAGCAGTATACATACTATACAGAAGGGTTGATATTCTTCATAAATCTCTGAATTGGTGACTGCTGGTCTAAAACTTACCTTCCTATGCTTTGTGAAATAATTCACACCTGTCACCATACAGGTGAGGAACTGGTTCCATGGGATTTACTGAGATTGTTTTTATGACTTAAAACCCTCACATGAAAAATAAAAACCTAAATCGTCTGCTTGCAAGTAAAAAGGCCAGTATAAAAGAAAGAAAGAAAAAAAACATACATTTTCAAACCTGTTAGAGTGCTGGGGTACACATACACATTATTTAGATACATACTTAAATCCATTACTCATAATAAATTAACATAAAAAGTCAGGCGGAATTAAAGAGAAGAAATTAGGTGAATTGTTGAGCATAACACCCAAGCAGTGACCCAAGACAGAACTGACATACACTGATACTGATGGAATTGATTACTGAGGATGTATCAAAAAAAAAATCATAACCCTGGATGCTGCCTTACTGACTGTTCACAGGTACTTCAAAGCTTAGATCTAGTACAGTTACCTGATGTAAATTTCACAGCAGCAACACGTATGCTGTACTACTGCAACACAAGAAGTGGCAAAATTTAATATGATCCTGCAGGAATTATCACTCACACACAAACACGCAAAATCTGACACCAACTAGCACTCCATTCAGCGTGAATAAATAGAGGACACACAGGTTAGTGTAAGTAAATGGCATTATTATTGATGCTACTCATGTGTATGTACAGTGACGGGAGAATTATTTTACAACAGCATTACAGGCGTAGGGGCGGTGGTGTACAAGCCTCTGCACAGACGAACAGTATAGGTCACACTTCACAGTCATGCTCAAACGTCAAAGGGTATGCACAAAAATTTTAGACCTTTACTAATTAAACATTGTAAAAATGACAAAATAACATCCATAATTACGATTATAAGAAACACTAAACAGTTCATTTTTAATCTAAGTTCATAGAAGCATGATACTAAGAAATATACAAATATAAATATATATGTATCTTGCTATTTTTCTCAACCTGTAACTACAATGTAAAATTGTTCAGAGTAAAATATTGTATATGCAGTAATGTACAGTAAGGCATTAAGATTTGTTGTCAGAGGACAAGTCCCTAAAGGAGAGGCACTTCAGTCAATTCCAGCAGGATGATTGAGTGCGTCAATAATCATCAATCATTTTTCCACCAAATATATCAATAATGATGTCATATATGACACATTAAGGCATATACAACTCAACATACTATATAAGTACCTCATACTTCTGACCTTCTTGTATTATTTATATATACGAATTGTATATTATCAACACAAACACACAAATAATACAGTAAAATTTAATATTTTGGGTAGGTGTGATTAGCCAAAGCATTGTTCCAGGTTACAGCAGTAAAACACTTTATTAATGTTCTAGTCACTAAAAATTTAATACATAAAAATGTATTAGAATTATAGTTAATTTTTTTTCCTGGAATTCCTTAGCTGCAAGCAAAAAGGAATTATGCTGTGAAATCTCCATAAACTACAGATTCCTATTTTGCTCAAGAAAACTGTATGAATACCTCTCCTATGAGAACAAGCCCCATTCCGACAAACAACATCCTAATACTGTCATTATTGTATCGTCCAATGGAACGGTGGTTTCGGCCAACAGAGTGATTAACCTGCCCAAGTGAGCGACATTTCGTAAGCCCCCAGTTACCCTTTTCCTCACACTTTGCTGGAGGGGGGGGGGGCAGCAGTGCCCACAGCTGACTACTCATCTTTACACACGTCCACAAAAATCAAGGGAGCATCAGGATCAAATGACGGCAACAAACTAAAGACAGAACGCTTTTAGAAACTCAGACTGGACATTGTACTATAGCCAAATATAAGAGAAAGCAGGTGGCTGCACTCCGCGTGCCGGCAGAAGGACATTTACAGATGGTACAAACAGTAACAGCACAATGAGGCGACCAGATACAGCAACACAGAAATACGAGAAAGAAAAAGATACCCCCCCTCCCTGACATGCTCTAGTGACCCCCGCTTCTCATTTTGGCTCTCCTCTCTGCATCACTTCACCCCCCCGCTAGCTGTGGGACTGGGCTGCTATGCCGGAACAGTCCGAAACGAGCAGTCCCACGTCGGAGTTGGCGCTGACGAACACGCTGGAGGCGGACACCACGCTGCCCAGGGAGACGGCGGCCGAGATGCTGGAGGAGGCGGTGGAGCTGGTGGTGGTGGCGGGGCTGTTGCCGCTCTGCACGTTATTGTGAGTCCCCATGTGGCCTTGCAGCTGGATGGGCGTCTTGCAGTGCACCCCGCAGAGCTGGCACACAAGCACACCTCCGGGCCCCGTGCCCCCAAATACACCCCTCTGGCCCCCACTCTCCTTCCACTCCTGGCCGTGATGCTTCTGGGCATGGATGCGCAAGTAGGTAAGAGTGGTGAAACCTGCAGCGGAGGGAAAATCACATCATCTTCATAAAAGCATGGTCACATACCCAGAATTATTCAGCGCTTAAGCGGACAGGCCTGACACTGAACATGCGTCAATGTCAATAAGAATACAGGACTTGACTTCTGCCCCTCAGACTCACCGACTCATTACTCTAACTTCCATCGTAAATGACCTGATTAATGCAAATAAACAGTTAGGCGCCCAGTAAATTACATAAAACGCCACTGGATAAAAACATTACTGCATGGTGCATAGAATCATGTATTTCTGAGGGCTAAAAAAAAAAAACATTTATCATTTAGTTTTTCTTTAGGGTGAAAACCCAGTGTCTTGGCCAGTTGCCATCACCTGGGGGTGTTCAGCCTTCAGGTATTCTTGAGGAACCCCCATTAATCTCATTGATAATATTACTGCAGTAATATTAAAACATCATTTAGCACCTCTAATTTCTATAAACCTTCCTACACACAAATTAACAACCTAAACACACTAACTGGCCTGGTTATGAAAGTCAGTCTGGCCCTGTACAAATGTAGGACATATTTATTAGGAGATTATATCCACCTTAATTGAGTATCATACGTAACAAAACACTAAAAAGTTATATGTGATTATTTGGTGTATATTTCTTTATCTGGAAAAGATGTTTTCCAGAGCTTATCATCCACTGACAATTCACAGGACCTAAACACAGGCATCCAGTCCTCTTTAAGTCTGTTCCGTTAAGTCTGAAGCACCTAGTTTGACAGCAAAGCTTTGCTTCGGCTTAGTTACTGTTATAACTTCCTGTAAGGTTTGTAGAGGCACAATCCTCTGAAAAGAGCACCAATGCATCTTAAACCATACGTCACTACAGCAGAGATAAAGCCTGGACCAAATACAATAACATAAACGAGGGAGATGCTTACTGCGATTGCACAGGTGACAGGAGTGGTGCTGTGACTGGTTGTGGACCCTCATGTGATCGCTGATGTAAGCTGCAGACAGCAGCTTGCCACAGATGTGACATGGCACTTTCTCCTCATGCCGGATCATGTGAGCTCGCAGCCGATCCCGTGTGGCAAATGCAGACTCGCATGTCTGCAAGTAGAAACAAATATTAATGCAAGACCTAAAAATAAAATTGCTCAGTTTCATACACTGTGTCCTATTATGTATGTTTCCTAAAAAACTGAATGATCCCCGTAATAAATACACATACATATTTACATGTTTAGTCACCAATTTGTGTATAAAACTGCATGTCAAACTAGTGTACAGTGTAACGAATGTAACATTTTAGTTACAGAGGTAATTACCTCACACTTAAAAGGTCTCTCTGTAGAGTGAACTTGCCTAACATGGCTGTTGAGATGGTCAGGCCTGGGGGGGGGGGGAATTCATACACCACTGTTAAAAGAATGCAGCTTTCACTCAACAAGGGGATACAACAAATTATTGGGGTTACTGTCTAACAGATTTCCCTAATACACATTCTACAATACAGATCATATTCTTAGCACACTATAGGTCACGTCAAGAAAGCTAGGACTGACTGCATGAGCTAAATGCACAACACAGCCCAACAATCTTCTCATCCAACCACCCTCAATGCAAAGATAAGCTGCACTGCTACTGAACATGCAGGTGCTTTACAACTTCTTGACAAATCATAATGGAGCCTGGGCAGCAGCGGCATGTGGGAGGTGGCAGAGTCAGTGTCACACCGTGAGAAGCCTTTGGCGCAGTGGGGACAGACATAGGGCTTCTCCACCCCTCCCTGGTGTGAGCGCACATGGTAGCTCATGCGGTCCTTCCTCTTGAAGCGCTGCTGACAGATGGGGCAGGAGTACGGCTTCTCGTCTGAGTGAGACAGTCGATGCCGGTTCAGGTGGTAGACGTCTCGGAAGGCCTTTCCACAGGCTTCACACGCGTGGTTTTTGCGCACTGGATTCTGGCTGGCATTTGCGGAGCGCTGTGGGATGTGTTCGAGCCATCACTGCACGAGCCAAATGCTTCGGCACCTCACATCAAAACTGAAATGGGGGGGGTGATTAAAAACCGAGTCAGCCCCCACGGACAGCCGAGAGACACACCCACCTGTAACGCTGCTCCAGCCACCACCACAGCAGCAGGAGGCGGGGGGCTCGCCATGGCAACGTTGGCGACGCTAACCGACATGGCAACCGCCTCGCCATCCTGGTTACTGAGAGAGGGCGGGTGAACCACCGATGCAGCTGGGGGTGGAAGCGGAACAGAGAGGTGCAGCAGGGAAAGGGGAACTGGCTGCCTCTCCACTCTGCCCTCCGCTGTAGTCGGTGCTCCACCTTTGATGCCCTCCTCCCTGTCCCTGGCTGCTCTGTCCTTCATACGAATTCCTGTGTGGACTGATTGGTGACGCCGCAGGTTGTAGCTGTTTTTAAACTGCTTGTTGCACAAGGAGCAGATGTGGGCGGCACGAACCGGCCGAGACACATGTTTCACTGTGATCAAGACAGGGAGGGAGGGAGGGGGAGACACTCAACATCCATACCGTATGTATAGTACACTATAGCATTAAAATACCAAGAAAAACTGCAATAACATCAGCTTGTCCTATTAAAACCACTGACATGGAAGAATACATACAACTGTATTTACAAGGAGATGTCTGGGACCTCTGACCCAATGAAACAGACCATGTGCACATACCGAATAAAATATTATTTGTTGGATTTAAGTGGTAACACACAGAATCCATGGTGTCAGGAGGATGCAAGAAAAATATGAACTGGATACATCACCAAGACCTGACTTGGCAAAGCCATACTTGGCTTCAGATAGGAAAACTTTGAAGACCGAGCATTGTGATGAACATATGGGCCGTGGAATTATCCCAGACAGCATGTGCAACTATACCCCTGTGCAATGCACATTTACATTGACCACAAAATTACTACTGCTTAAGGCAGTAATGAAGACTGACTCAGTAGCTATAGGATGAAAATGACTGTCTGGGGAATATAAAAAGTATATTAGCTCTACTGTTTTTGACTCCTTTACATGAATATAAACCAAACAAATAAATCGTATTGTCATCCCTGATGTCCAAAATAACAATGATGTACTTTGATACTCATTTGAATAACACGTATTTCAGTGTTACTTGATATGTGTTCTCTGCAAGAAAGAAAAAAAAAAAAAAAAACATAGCTCTGTTTCCTTCACTTAAATTTGTTCCTTGGCTAAAAACAGCAGTGATAAAGTTAGAAAATGGTGATCAAGTTAGCAACAGCTACATGTACTCATCCTCTGCAAACTGCCACCCAACGCCTGTCCAGGAGGGTAAACACCATGGGCACAATTGGCATATCTGACTAAACAAAGCAGGCATATCATCAGTTTCCACACTGCACTCATAGTTGGGCAGAAACTACACTAGAAACATAAACATTAATAAAAAAGATCAAACACAAAATTGTGTTAAATGGTATTACATGTAAATGAGTAGAAAAGAGTAAAGAGAATGAGGCATTACACTTTTTAGCAGTCGGTTTCATTGATTTGCAGGAAAAATAATTACTGCATGAAAATATGAACTTATTTCCTCAATTAGCCAATTCCACTTCACTTAGTGGCCATGGAACTTTCTTATTTGGTAAGGTAGGCATTACAAAGCACGTCTCCCGTGACTGTTTTCCTTCTCCCGCTTTGCCTTATCAGTTATACCCCTAACATCACACACGGCCCTCTCACCAGGTAACGGTAAAGGCTCTTCATTTAGGGCCGCGGTGTCGACGGTCGAAGGCGGTAACCCTATGTGCTCTGTAGGTGCGTTTTGGGTTGAGCCTGCAAGACCTGGGAGGAGATCGGATTGGAGAGTTGCTTCAACTTGACTTTGGGTTGGCGTAGTCTAAAGAAAAACAACAATGAATTCACTGACACGTGAATGTTTAATACATTTTTAATAAACTATACAGATAAACATATATACAATTTGACGTTCTGATCAAACACAAGATGTGTATTCCGCTGCAAATGATAAGCGCTTTATTATGCCCACGTGTACTGCATGCTATGGACCGCACTCCCTGAGGCTCCCCAAAACGGCCCGTAAAGCCGGCTGGAGAGAAGCTAAAAAACACTTACCTGAAATAGAAAATTGCTCCAAGCAGCATCCATTTTGCACCTCGACGAAGAACAAAATTAAGTCTTTACGTGTATTTAAATCACTAGTGTCTACGATCGCTTGAGATTATAACAGAAAGAGGGCAGGATGCCATTTCATTTGGGAGCTGAAACGCAAAATAAGTTGCAAACATCCACTGGACAAAATATAGCTGGCTACCTATTTGGCGAACCTGTCATTCTTAGGTTATTCAATACGAAACCGTAGATATTACAGTAAGTTTAGTTATGCACGTATATTTCTGTAAACACATTTAGTATTTTAAAGGCTAGTTATGTAGTTAGCTGGCTAACACGATAGCCAATTAAGCGATTAAATGCTAAATCACAATTGCTGTTTTAACAGCAACCTAAGGGTTGAAAATGTATTTTTGTGCAGCTGTAATCACAGCAGTAACTACTACTTCGCTATGCGCTAATAGCACGCTATCAATGCTCCCAATTACCATGCAAGATGTGATTACTAGTGGTTAAAAGTATCCTCCGTGCGTGTTGTACTAAGGTAGATACAGTACTATTTTAAAACAGTGTATTGAATTAATAACTACATATTTTTTGCTGTTCAGAATTATTTTTTCCTATAGGCCAAAGCGGGTGTTTATCGAAGCCTCGGAGTTGCGTTCAGTCCTGGCCTCGGCTAGAGCGCCTCCACCCAGCGGTAGCCCGTCGTCCCGCCTTGGGTGTTCGGCGATATAGGTGTCATCTTTCTTTTTTTTCACCCCCCTTTATCTTTCCCTCCCTCTCTGTTTCTTCCTCCTTTTTTTTCAATTTCTCCTTTTCACTCCCTTCTGTATACCTCCCTCACTGCTATGTCCCACTTAATATTTAAAGGGAATGTATGTTCGGCCGAACAGTCTCCCTCTCCTACCTCTTTTTTAGCTACATCACACTTTATTATAGACAGCCTTTTTCCTTGCCCCCTCCCATTGGCTATCTCGGCCGACGTAAATTGTTCAAATACGTGCTATATTAATAAATACGATACCCTAAAGTTTACCTCGAACAGCTGATCGATAATTGCAGCCTAAATCCATTTACGCGCGATCGAGAAAAGAAAAAAAGACGCAAGTGTCACGGCAAACGTCTCTTAAAGGGAGTGTGACGCTCGTACGCAGTGATGCACCGTCTTAAAGGACGCTCGATAATGACGTTAAATACTGTAGTCCAGCACCATTATGGAAAGATTATGGCCAGAAGGGAGGAGGTGGATAGCAAATTCAGATACTAATAGAATAACCTGGACTGTTAGACCCTTAAAATGACATGGCAGCATTTGATTTTTATGACTTGCTGTAATGTTAACGATTATGCAATACGCGCATGCATTCGTTCACTTAGAAGAAATAAATAATGATTTACTCGATAGAATATTGTAGCGTGTTATTATGGGCGAAGTAACTTGTAATACGTATTATTGTCACTAGATGTCGCTTAACATCACTTAGATGTCGTGTATGAGACCATCTACTCTTAAAAATCAACCGTCCATCCATTTTCTATACCGGCTTGTAATATGCAGGGCAAACTATTATGATAATTTGCTTTCTTGTTACATGGTGTTTTTTTACAAGGTCTACTGTGACTGACATGCCTTTTTATCAGATGAAACATGTCTGTTTAGTATAACCACCCTTTTCAAGATTGAGATCTTGTGGCCTGTTCAAATGTTCTATGATATCCAATGGCATTTGGATTTTGAAGAATTCTCAGAACTCTGCTGTCTTGGGGTACTTTGTTCCTCAATCCTTAGGGTCATTCGTCCTTTTCCATCTTTGGCTTGCCAAAGGTGGAACGGGTTGCCAGTATCTATTAGTTCATCACAGTCCTTCACTGCTTCTGATTAAAAAAAGCCTGAAATCTCACACGTTTAACACCGGAATGATACATTTCTATATTTATATCTGTATATATGTGCTTCTATATCTGTAGCACAAGCCAGTCTATTGCAGGAGCACATACAAAGTCATTGTCTATGGCCAACTTAGAGACCCCAGTTAGCTTAACTGCATGTAACTGGATTACAGGTACAAGCGCACACAACAGTGAGAACATCCATCCATTTTCTGTATCCACTTGTCAAATTCAGGATTCCATTTGCACCCACGGGCAATCTGGCAGCTCACATTCACCTTAGCATGATTTTGGACTGTTGGGGGAAACTAGAAGAAGCTCTACGACAACACAGGGTGAACTCCAAAACTATAAAGCTGAGGTGGGATTCGACCCCTGAACCGGGGATGCATAATACAACATCGCTATCCTACCCTACCTTGTTAATCTGAGTATGAGTTGTCTGTCTATTGATAATAACTACATTCTGCCTTGATAGTACATAGATAGCAATTACAGTCTACCTGCACTCAGATGCCTGTGTATACAGTAGATAATTTATGAAATTTAAAGAAAAGTCCATTCAAAGTCAAGCAGGTGTTACTAACCAAGTGAATTATTCTATTGCATTTTAACACTTAATTTCTGTCTTAATTTCTCTGAAAAATAACCACTACCTTTCTAATGTATAGTAATGATGGATGGAAAAGCTTTATGGATTGCTACAGTATTCAACTACTAGTCAGAAAGAATACGTCTTTATGAGCCTGGCATGTAGAACCCTCCTTTTTCCATAATAAGTGTCAAATCTTGCATGACACACTAGCAGACACTGGCAGTAAATACGGATTCTGAGTCACCATACCTTCAATGATATGAATATCAGATGAAGATAAGATATGTGATGGCACAGAGAGATAAGCACATTCAGTTATGGTGTGATATTAGGTTATACTCTCATCTGTCTATCACAGGTCGGGGTATGTAGGTTTTCACGTAAGTCTCCAAACTTGCTTAGGGACATTTTATTTGCATATTTATTTTTACAGTACATTTGCTTGGAGTTTGGTTATAAGCAGAAAAATACCCAACTGATGCACAATAAACCTAGACTTTGGGCTAATTTGGTCACATATTAGAGTCCAGCAATAGTTATGATACAGAAGAGTGTGCGGACAATACAGTTTGCTTAAGGAAGTCAGTAAGTTAGTGATGTGTATGATTTTCTATGCCGTTCCTGTTTTACAGAAGAATAGGCTGGTGTTCAGAATAGACTCCCTGTTTCCAACTAGCCCCTTATGTGAGGCTACCTGCTGACCATAGAACTGTGAGCTACTGTATGCTGTCATTCTGTGTTGCTTACCTCAGGTCTGTAGTTTGCCTCATGGTGTCTCACTCTGTGACATTGTTGATATCAGCTATTTCTACCCGTATAGATGATCTGACTGACATTCTTTGACGCAAGTAATCAATGTAGCAATTCTCAGGAATTGATATTAGAAATGAACCAATAACTGAATATTCTTTGAAAATTCTTCCATCCCTGTGACAATGGAGACTGTTGATGGGTTTTTTTTTGTATATTTTCTAAATTGGATTCATCTGGGATTTAATCGTGTTTTTTTTTTTTTATACCACTCTGGTATCACTTTGATTTTGTATTATTGTTTTGAAGAAAGCCTTTAAAGACTGTATTGCTCTCACTCTTGATGTGATAAAAAGCATCGCCTAACAGGATGTTGCTGCCGCTACACTACACCGTAGTGTAACAGCATGTCCACAGGGTGCCAGCGCCCTCCAAATTGCCGCGCGGTGCCATTTAAGCCACAGGAGTGCAGCCCCTATCACGGCCCTCCGCCTGCACCTCCTCACAGAGAGACCATGAGGAGAGCAAACCAAAGGAGGTGCTTTCTGGAGGTTTTCTCTTGGAAGACCACACTGCTTTTTTCCAAGCATTTTTTTTTTGTCAGAAAAGCATCTCACAGCTAAACTAACCCCTAGTAACTTTAATCTGCTATAACAGGGATATTATCTTACTATGTTTGTGCCACGTGATATTTTTTATTTTGGCAGGGAGAACTTGACAATAAAAAGACTTGTTTGCACTGATCACCACAGACCAGGTGAGTTACTGAGCCACTGCTGACACATGTATGTTTCATCTGATCAATCTGACCAATCCAACACTTTTCATTGGCTCATTTTAGCAGTTTGTATGTTATACCACATATTTTTCACTTGACGACTTTTGCTAACCAAGATTCTAAGCTTCATATTCAGAAGTGTATGTAATAAGTTTCCCATTCTTTCACAGTAGTTGTAATTGTATACAAATTCATGTGGTATTCTTTCTATAGTCCAGAGATGTGCAGTTAGGTAGTATACTTTCACATTAGCAGCTGTAACTAGCATGTTTTGGCAGCTATGATCAATTTCTTCTGTTCCAGATCAATACGGTCAACGGAGACGGTCACGTGGTACACCGTTGATCCTGGACATGAATAAGCCAGATACCAATATTATGGACAACAGTGAAGAAATCATTTTAAAAGAGTACCACCTGGTTTGATCGAGACAATCATGTCTAAATAAAAACACGCCATTTATCATTTATGCTTATTTATTATTTAAAATTAATTACGCTTCTGTACAACACATTTCAGAACAATGTTCCTCTACCAAACTTCATTTTTTTGTACACATTATTAAAAACCCAGTTTCTCCTTTGATAAACCCGAAGCCATACCAAGCACCTGAGAACCCCGTTCTCTGTATCATTCAGGGCTCCATTCCACGTGCTGTGAAACAGGGACGCCGATTCGGACACGTCAGGCCGACCCCGTTAACCGAATGCATCCGCTGCTCCGGTTGCGTTAAAATAAACCTGCTACTCACGAAAGCATCGACCGCTTTCATGCAGAGCCACCCTGCTCTGCAGCTTCTTTAATTAACAACAGCAATAAACGCTAATAAAGTACGACATCGACGCCGCTGGGTGGATATCGGGCGTTTCGAGACAGTTAAAAGTATGTAGCTATGTATGCATTTACATAGACACATTCATACGTATATTTACAAATATGCAAATATACACACAAAAAGTTATACTGTACAGAGTCGAAAGAGCAACATACTGTAATTGACAATACGTGTTACAGTTTCCTACCGTGAAGCACAATGGCGGAATACCTATATTGTTCGGTTATTTTACTCTTGCTAAATTTCCAAAACGTACCTTTCATGTCACTTCGTCCATCTAATCTGTGCTCGTTTATATATTTTTGTAAAACATTTTAAAATGTGTACAACCTAATTACAACAATAATAAATTGCACTAGTAATAATAATAATAATAATGATGTTATTAAAAAAAGTTTTTTAATTATCCAACTTTTTTCTTCTAATATCAGTTCAACAACATATTATTATTACTATATAAAAATGTTTGAGTCAGTGATTTTTATATACACATATATACAGTATAGTTCAAAAGTGTTAGACAACGAACATCTTTAATGTTAATATACTTTTGACAGGTACTATATGTGTATGCTTATGTATACAAATGCTTTGTACACTTTTTTCATGCACTCTCATACATATGTCATATATACAAACACTCAGTATGCTTGTCACAAAGTAGACCAATGTCTTCATGTTCTCACAAACATGGTATTAGTATTATTATTATTTTAATTTTTTCCCCTACACAAACATGTTCTTATATAGATTAGGGCAAAGTCAACATTCTTCACAGGCATTCTGTATATTCATATCAGTATGTGTTTATGTTTATTGCTCCAACAACAAACGAAATACTCCATGGCAGCATTCCTCTAAGGGACCTTAAAGGCGGTGGGCAGAGATGGAACAAGTAGGTTTTTTGGGCCATTTTATGCATGGCAGCAGGTTTTTTTTGTATCATCTTTTTAAAAAATAAAATAAAATAAAAAATCCCCTATCACAATAAAAATTAATTGACTAATTAATTTAAAGAGAAAACAAGTCCCTATGTCTGACTTATTTACATAATAAATTTCTTTTCAATTCAAGTTATTCCTGTTAATTTCCCTTGACATCCTTTGGTTAAGGATTGGATTTTCTTTTTGCACCAAAGTTACCCCCCTGCACCTGCTCACCCAAAGCCAGGCTTCTCTCTGTTCAGGTTCCATTTAGTAGTGTATGTTAGGTATACATCTTCAGCTATGCCATCCTCTTCTTCACATTACTGGTCTACTTTAGCTCCTCCCTAATGTACCTGCTGTTTCCCTCTTCATTTACATTAAAATATAGGTGAGCAAATCTTTTTCCTGAGGGCTTAAGCCTGGCAAATTTTACAGACCATGATTTAATTACCATCTAATTAATACCAAAACACAAGGCGAGGTGACATACTAGTCAATTAACTCCTTTGTTAAAGCAATTAGTAGCTGAGGTTGAGCAGCAGTAAGCAGAGCAGCCCTTTACGGGGTGCCTGGGCCCGGTCTCGCACAGTAGAACTCTAGGAGTACGAGAGGTGCGAGCCGTTTGAAATGTGAGACGTGACTGACGTGCTCCGGCTCAGCACGGCCTCGCTGCCCCCGGCCCCCCCAGGACCTCCCCCAGAGGCAGTTCTCCTCAGGGGCTGAGGGCTATTCCTCAGGGCCATCAAGCTTGGGCCCCGGACCGCCAGGCCTCCTCCCCCACTGTACCCCCCCTGGGAAGAGGAAGAGGATGACGAGGACGGCGGGGAAGAGGAAGAGAGGGAAATGGGAGGTGGGGGGGGCAGTGGAGGGAGAAGGGCAAGGGACTGAGAGGAGGAGTGAGAGGGCAAGTGGTGGGAGTGGGTGTGAGAGTGGGATAAATGGCCCCCACCTCCCACCCATTCCGTCTCTCTCTCTCGCTCCCTCTCTCTCTCCCTCTCCTTCTCCTTCTGCCTCTCCCGCTCCCTGTAAAGCTGAGGGGTGCTCTGGTGATGGTAGTGTTGTGGGAGATAATGGTGGTGATGTGAGGATGAGGAGGAAGCAGTAGAGTGAGAGGTATGGAGGCTGCTCTCCCTGCTCATGGTGTGCAGGGAGGCCACGGACTCCCCCCTGCTGAAGGCCCCCCCGCTCCCACCGGCCGTGCTATTCTGGCTTCTCCATGAGTGCGGCGCCCCCGAGTTCTGAGGGTGTACCCCGTGCGTCCAGTGGCTGCCAGAACGGGGAACGGGTCGCGAAGGCCAGCCCCCCGAGGCACTGGGCGGGTTCGGGTAGCCCTGGTTGAAAGCCTCCGCGGGGATGCCTGTCAGCGCCATGTTGCTGAAGCCCAGCCGCATGCTCTCTGAGTCAAAGGCCTCGATCTCGTGAGCCTGGCGCTCCAGCAGGGTTCGGATTCGCTCCGAGCGCTCGTTCTGCAGCGAGAGCATCTCCTCCTCGATCTGAAGGAGATACAAGGTCATCAAAATAGGGCGGATGACGGTGGTGGCCGCTGACCTCGGCCCAGTCTACTCACCCTCTGTTCCAGAAGAGCCCGCCGAATAGACACCCTCTGCTCCAGGTCCTTGACCTCGCGCTCGTGCTGGGTGTCCGTGTGGATCTTGATCTTGCTCTGGTAAGCATTCAGCAGCTCCAGCTCCTGCTGCAGCTGCATCCTCAGGACCTGGTACTCCGCCTCCTGGGTCTCATCCAGTCGTAGCTGGAAAAGGCCAGATGGACGGGGCAAGACAGGGTTTCAATTGCATTCGGAATGCCAGAGACACGTAATTTCCTGCATTGCATCTTTCTCAATCCCAGTTTAATAAGTGTTTGTTAATTTTTTTTTCTAATTAAGTAACAAAGGGTGAATGTTTACTGTTCGGACAGCTAAGTCCAGCACCTGGCTCCAGTGCTCAAGAGCAGGGACAGCCATGATACTCAAACAGGTCCAGTCTCATCATGGCCTGCCATCCTTTCAGAGGACCGGTCCTGTACTTGGCTTTTAATGCCAGCCTGTTCACTGACCACATAGGAAATTATTTCCACATTTGATGTCAATCAGCTTATCAGGCAGTTCAATCAAACCACAGGGCAGCTACAGGACTAGCATGTGACTTTCTCACTATGTGATAGGTGATCAGGTCCAGACCGCAAATCCAGGTCATGCGGCTGAAATGTGGGCAATTTTATAAAACTGTTCACAAATCTCTTTCAAATGAAGGGCCACTGCATTGATGACTGGGAAAAAGGCTGACATTTCATCAGGAAACATTGAATACTATGTTGAACATGCCCTCTCTTCAAAAGCATAGCTGCACAAAGCTTTTATCTTGTATCACAGAAATGGCTGTCAAACCAAAAACCAGTTGAAGGTGGAAAAAGATGGTAAAAAAAAATCCAGGCTGATGTGTGGAACATGAAGCATTATAAATCTTAATAAGCTTAATTACTTTTTTATGGCATGTTTTAATTAACCGCGACTGCAGTATACACATATAGTATGGATGCACCATTGGGTCAAACGTCTTGGGGTTCCCCGGTCTGACTGCAGGAGTGCAGTTTAATGTCTGCTTGCCTTACTCACAGCCTGTGTGGAGAGCATGTCGTTGATGGAGTGGTCATATTGCTCGGCCAGGATGGCCAGCTTACGGGTCTGTTCCTCCTTCAGCCTCTTCAGCACGGCTTTGTGGTCGGCCTTGGGCGTGCCCTCCAACAGGTGGTTCCTCAGCGCCTTGTACTGCCGTGTCTGGATCTTACACGTGTCCTGGAACTGACGCTTGATCTGCAGCTCTTTGGACTGCAGGGAGGGGGAGAGAAACAAAGGCGACACCCAACTTCGAATGATTATACCACGAGACAGATTCCCCCGACCCCCCCACCCCACCCCACAAGGCACAGATAAAAGTGAGAACACAATGGGCAGGGATGGGTGCTGCTTATACTAAAACTATGAAGGAACAACAATCAGTAACTGCCTGAGCTTCGGTAATTCAGCCAGCTAAGTGTCTGACTACAGAAAAGTGTCTCCGCACAGCCCTTGATAAATTAAAAAAGCTTTAAACTTACCTTCAAATAAAATCTTAATACCAGACTGTTCACTTAACATCAGTGATGATGCAAGGCACCAATTTTTAAAAGGCAAACAGAAAGTAGCAGGAATATGAGCAGAAGCATCCTATCGATTAGACGAACAACATTAATGTTTGTTGCAAACTTACAAATATCTATCATACATGCGCATACATTGAGGCATGTGGATGATGAAGAGATTCAGATGAAGGGGCCTTTATAAAATGAAAACTAAATGAGTATTAATCAGTGTTGTTGCAAAACTACTACAGGTTTGTGTGAAAAGAGGAAGAGGATGCAAAATGGCTGACTTAGTAGCACTGGAACAGGAGAGATCCTACTACTTTTATGATAATTCGTTATCAAAATGCTTCTATTTTTTAAACATTTTATGTTAAGTATCTAGTATAAGATTTGCACTAATTACCACACCAGACAAAAAGTAATTAAATAAGGACAAAACAATGGAAAGAACAAGACACACTAAAATGATATTTCAACAAAATTTATTTTGAGGGGGGGATGAAATATTATATGTCCTCACACACATTCACACACAGACAAATAAAGGGCAAAATAAATCAAATGGCTGCACACAAATGCAGGATCCACTTAGTTTACAAATACTGCATATATTATGTTATAAATTTATATTTTTATGCAATAAATTCTTAGACAAATCACAAGACATAAATACAGATCCTACACGACAGACATAAAGGGAACAAAACAAAATGAAAATATAAAATACATTCATTCATTCTTAACAGAAATGGATGTTCAATGCAAGATAGAGTCTCTTCATATTATTGCTTTCACCAGATGATTTGACATCACTTATAAATGCGCACTAGGGATTTATATAGAAATTAAATCAAATGTCCATCCTTAAGATTTACACAGAGACACACAATTATGAATCAGATGTAACTGAAATCTGTGTCAATCCCTGAGCTGGGAGCTAAATGTGAGTGATGGGCAGACCGAAGCCCTGGGCTATCAAATTAGCATTTAGTAGCACTTTTGCACTTTCAAATATATTAACATTTCAAGTTTTGAAACCCTTCTCCCCTGTAAAACATACCCATTTCTACATTCCCCTCCTCTCCCACAAGCATTTGTGTATCACTGTTCCACTAAGCAGTCTTGGGTAAATTAATTTACTAACCAATGGTGTGCAGGACTCCTAGCAGACATTGTGGGAAATGGACACGCACACACAATGTATATGCCTGCAGCAGCAGCAAAAGAGTGATTTACAGGAATTGCATGCATGTGCGTCTTTGTTGCCTGCAATACCTTCATTGTGGGGTGCAATACTTAACCTCTGCATAGTATTATGCAGTTTTTGTACTCACATTTCAGGGCTCCGCTGTTATCTTTGGTATGGTTGCTTTTGCACATGCAAGATCGACTGTTTAGACCATTTACAGACATTTTATTTAACTGCCAGAGAAAAACTGGTGAAACCAGTTTTTATATTATGCTCCCAAACTTGTTTGCATTGAGGAAATTCCTCAGGAACAAAAGCAAAATGAAAGCATTTTCGATTAAAATGCTTTGTTTTATGGCCAATCCTTCAAAATTAAAATGATTAATAGTGCAACAGGAAAAAAAACACTTATTTTAACACATTAAACGGCACACTCATCAAAGTCTCCCTCAGCATTCCCAATTGTACCACCCCCATCCCAACCAGCAGTCTTTTGTCTGACATTCTACCCTGTACCAGCCAATGAATTCTCCCACCTGATAATAAAGCAGTTCTTCCTATTCCAGGCCTATTCATATTCCAAACCAATGTCTCTTCCACACAACTGTTTCTCAGTCTCATGACAAAACACAGAGCAACAATACAAAATAAAACATTTTAAAAAAAAAATAAAGTTAATTTAAGACTGTGGCTGGAAAGGGCAGCTGGGACAACGATTTTGAGGAGTTTTAGGTGAGCTATCAATGCATAAGAGAAGCAGAATGTAAAATGATGGACAATCACATGGGTAGTGGGAGCAAATTCACATTCTAACAACAAAAATGAAAAATAAAAGTAAAAGGTCAGGTTTGGGTTGCCTTACTGGACAGATCAATAAAACTGTATATAAAAGTAAGCAACACTTGCCTAAGTCACAGTTAATGAGATGGAATGGAGAGTTAAGAGCAGAGTACAGTATGGTACGAGACAGGACACCTGGTCCCAGGTAAGGACACCTGCAAGGCGAGGGGGCTTCTTTTTCAGCACACAGCCGCCTGATCAACCAGAGACTGCAGACAGCGATCGGGGGAAGAAACCCCAGCGAGCACGTGACACGGACAGTGCAGCATGCAGAGCACGACAGCACGCCCTGGCAGGCACGCTGCTTCACAAGCAGCATGGAAGCTGTACTGTGCCAATTAGTGTGTGGGTTTGTCTCCGTATTGCAGGGAATATGGAAAATGTAGTGCGTACTTTGATAAAAACTGCCAATCTGAGGAAAAATAGGCTAACACTAAATTCCGGTGTGGTACGATAAATAAGGATTAAACTGACAGTGCGAGACTAAAACCTCAAACAGTAAATCTTAAGACTTAAAAAAATAATGCACAGTCGCGGTGTTTTAAAAACCAACCATAAGAGAATAACCTTTAAAAAAGAAAACTTTTTGTAAAAGTTTTACAAGTTAAGTGAAAATGGAAGAAAACAGAGGTCATATTGCATGCATACAAAAGAACTGACATGCGTACACTGAACCAGACTGGCAGATAAAGAAACAAAATAATCACATTCCATAGACGCTTGGATTGTTTTCTCGCCTCCAGCTGGAGAGGAGCTCAACAAACCAACTACTAGTCAAGTACAACATTGACACAATGCAGCATATAAACAGAACAAACATATTCGTTACGGAACAAGACATTTGCACAGATGTCCTCTGCTGTCCCTCACCCTACCTCCAGGGGACAACCTTTCCCCTCAAACTCCTCCCCGAAGCGGTTCGTCTCAGACCAGACTCCCACCTCCCACTTTCTCTGATGATCCTCTCTCTTTCCTCCCTCCTCCTCCTCTCTCGCTCCCTCCTCCTCCGCTCCCTATCTCTATGCTCCCGCACCTCCCTGGGCAGAAGCCGTGGGAGCCTGCTGGCTCTCTCCTCCTTCAGCAAACCCAGGGCCCTCATTTTGCTCAGGTAACTGTGTGGCAGCTTCTTCAGGACACGGCTGGCCAGCTTGAGCACTACAGAATTGGCCCAGTCAGCAAGGAGCCCGATGGGCCGTCTGAGGAAGCGCCTGACCGACAGCAAACATTTGGAAGCTGCAGAGACTTGACTGTGCCTGGAGAAGTACTCCACGGGAAGGGTCCTGAGCGGTACAGGAATTTTAGACTGGCGTACCCCCCAGTTTCTCCCTGCTTTAGGGAACATGTCATACAAGCTTCTCTCTGTAAGCCCACCAAGAAGGGACTGACACAGGGTGAATAATGGCTTGGGAAGTCGGAACAGGACTCTGACCCAGAGGCGGTTGATTTTCTTAGGGGCATTCTGAAGGAAAACCCTCGCTGGTCGGACGATCAGGACGACGATAAGGTAGAGAGAGAGGAAAAGGGACGGCGAGCTGAGGAAAAAGGCTGAGACCAAAGCCACGGGGACGTAGTAGAGGCCAAGGCTGAGTGAGAGGCCTAAGCTGAAGAGGCCGCAGCCCCAAAGAGCGATGGAGAGGTAAAAGGCCAGAGAGACATAACAGCAGGAGCGCAGGAAGAGGTAGGAAAAGAAAAGGGCGAGGAGGACCAGCTCACCAGAGAGGAGCAGCGAGGCCAAGGAAGGGAGAGGAGGAGAGCGCCTCAGAGACAGGAGAAAGACGGAGAGGAGCAGGAGGACAGGAAGTGTGGGGTGAGCCGCGGAAGACAGTGAGAGCACCAAACAGACCGCGTGCGAGAAGATGGAGGGCAGTGAAGAGGGGGCGGGCGGCGGGGGGGGCGCGTACAGTGGCGGGGACTCCAGCTCCTCCAGGGAATCTGGAAAATAGAACTCGGAGAGCTCGTCGGCCTCCCGCTCCCCATGGCGCTCCAGGGAGCCAGGAACATGCTCCGAGGCACAGCCGTCTGCCACTCCCCTGCCCTCGTGCCCGTCCTCCTCATTTTCGGCCTCGGTGTCTGTTGCGCTCCCCTCGTTGTCCTCCTCCCACTCGGCCCCCTCGAGCGAGCCGACTTCCCTGTCCCCTTCTGACCACGTCCTCTCAGGCTGTGCCTTGCCCTCCTCGCCATGTCCATTGCTGTCCCTCTTTGGGGCCTCCGTTTCGCTCTCGTCTCCTCCCACCCCTTCCTCCTGGACCCTGCTCTCGTCTTCCTCGCTTTGGCTAGTCGGGCTCCCTACCTGTCCTCCTTCAGAGGCACTCCCCGTGAACGCAGTGCTCGGAGCTTCGAGGCTGCCCATGTCCTCGGACTTCACTTCACCCTCCTGCCCGGTCTCCTCCACCTCTTCCTCCGTCTCCCCCTGGTCCTGGTCCTCCCTGCCCTCCCCAGCGCCCCCCTCCGCACTCACTTTGAGGCTCTTGGGCTGCTGCCGCACCTCGGTGGCGTGCTTCTGCCGCAGCTCCTGCTCGCGCCGCTTGTTGTACTCCAGCTGGTTGGCCAGCTCGGTCTGGTGCTGCGTGCGAATCAGCTCGGCCCGCGTCCGCTGCACCAGGCCCAGCTGCCGGAACTCCAGCTCCTGAGTGGACTCGTGGTGCCGCAGTAGCTGGGCGCACTCCAGGTCCTTCTGGGTCTGCTTCTTATTTAGGTCCTGTAAGAGGAAGCCCAGGGAGAGGAACGTGAGGTGCGGGGGCTGGTGGTGAGTTGGCCTAGTCCCATCTGACCCAGGAAGGGGGCGACTCCAGAACTGGAGCATGCGGCTCAGCGACAGTCACATGTTGCACGGGAGAGCGCGTCTTACTGTGAGGGACACTGAACTAATTCCGTGACGGTGAATCTATAACAGGGGTTCTCAAAGTCAAAAAACCACAAGTTAATTCGGAGCGAGCTGATAATGCACCTTATGAATCAATATGGTTAGCGGAATAAGGCTTAACATGGTTCGAAGTACAACAATGTAGAACCACCAACACATAACTCATCACAGTCCCTCCCCCCACAATGAAGTGATCAGTGAGCGTTAAAGTTCCCATTTTTGTTGTATACTGAAACCTATACTGAAGGTGTCAAACATATTAACATTAAAGTTAATGAAATGCTGTTTTATTATTTATTATTGGAAATTGTTCTGGACCTCTAACTTTGAACAATAATCTGATATGGACTTTTAATCAAAAAGTTTGAGAACCACTGGTCAATAATATCTGTAATTTTCTCATTGGATTTATTTTCAACATCCGAGTCAAATGGTTAAAATTCACCGTAGCGTAATCCAATGATTTTAGCTGTACAGTCAGTTACCTATATCTTGTGCTTTATGCTGGGAGGTCAGTAATTAATTATCATATTTATGTATTTTCATCTACCAAGGAAATCTATTCTGCTCACAGGAAGTGCATATTCTGCTTACACTTTCTTCAGAACTCTGAGATGTTACACATTAGATGGCAGAGCCCAAGACAGCCCAGGCTCCAGGTGGCGCTGTACCTCTCTGAGCAGGTCCTGCTCCAGGTTGTGCTTGGCCAGCAGCATCTTCCTTTTGTACTGCCTGCACTGCAGCTCGTAATACTGCCTCTGCCTGCGCAGCAGCCCCGCCTCCTCCTCCGCCTGCTGCTGCTGCAGACACTCCTTCTGTCGCACCAGCCATTCCTGCTTCTCTCGCTTCGGCGTCGACTGGTTCTCGTTCAGCTCCTGCAGATGGCAGCGGCTGCGGGTCATGCTGGAGATGGGGGCATGGCCCACAGAGCCACCCCATGCAGAGGGCCGCCCACTTGACGGCCCGCTCACACTAACGCTAACGCTGCCGCGTCGCGGGCAGATGTTTGCGGAAGCCAGCAGGCCCTGCCGTGAATGAATGCACACACACAGTCTCTCTCTCTCTCTCTCTCTCTCACCTCTTTCAGCTGCTCCTTGCGTTGGCGGTACTGGCGCTTCTGGGACTCCAGCAGGCTGGCCAGCTCCTTCTTCTGCTGGTTCAGGATGTGCTGTTGGAACTTCTTTTCCTCCGCCAACGCCGCCTTGGTCTGTGGACACAAACAGGGCCGTGCTGTAGGAGGCGCTCTGGGTGGCCTTCCTGACGGCCTTCATCGGGGGCTCTTCCACTACAGTCACGGTGTGGACACAGGCCCCTTCCGAATCCAGTGTTCCCTCAATTTCCCTTCAGCCTACAAACAGACCATCCCTCACCGCACCTCTGGCACTCCTACCCTCTACAAAAACCCTTCTGATTCCGTTAATCTCCCCATCATCCATCATTTAAAGCTATGCCTTCCCTTAAGCGTTTCCTACATTTCCCAAAACGATCAATGATCAACAGGTACCACTCCAGACTCTGCTGCACATTTGGACGCCTTCCTACCTCTTTCTCCAGGATGGCCTGGTGCTTCTTGCTCAGCTTGTCTGCCTCTCCTCCGAAGTTGTTCCTCTGGGTCTCCAGCTCCTTGTCCAGCCGCAGCTGGTGCTCATCCATCTCGGCCTTCAGCTTGTTCTCCAGTGCCATCAGCTGCTTCTGGTGCTGCCGCCGCATGCGCTTGTATCCCGACATCTGCTCCCGCAGTGCTGAGCCCTGCTCGTGCTCCTGGATCTGCCGTGTCACCTGCGGAAGGGACAGGTATTTGCTACAGACTTCAGCGAGAAACAAAGAGAGCTTTAAAGAGGCAACCTTCAGCTGCCATAGATGCACGTTACAGTTGTCACAGAGATGAGATATTGAAAACAAATGACTTCATTTTTACACAATGAGCAGCTAAACTCAGGACATTATTTAAGCGGTGGCCATGTTCCCCCCCCCCAGTAAATAGGTGACCACCCTAGTTGTCACCCCTCATGAAAAAAAAAGAAGAAATATGGAGCATTTAATTATGCAAACCAGAGCTGCCCAACCCGTCGCCTAGTCGATCGTGGTGTGTCTCCAACTCGATCGCGAGATGATTAATGGATGATGCTTTATTTCATCATCAGCCAAATATACCGAGGGGACCCCCCTCCCCCCCATGATTAGCAAAATACACTGAGGAGCCCCACCCCCCCGGTAGGCCAGACGCAGTGCAGTGTGGTCACCCCGTTACATAAGACTGGCCCCTGATGGCCACCCCAACTGAGATTTTCTGAGGCCGCCACTGGCTGAACTATTCCCTGTCCATCTATTGTGATGGATAGACTCTTTCTAATGCAACTTCTCTCAAGTTTCCTGTCACAAGTCCAGTTACCTAACCAGCCTGCCACCTACTGCCCCCAAAGGCAGGACAAATGTTTTCAAATGATCACAAAATGAAAACATATCACAATCGTTTAGGAACAGACAGTCTTGGAATGCCTTATTATATTTATATAATATCATTCAGATCAGAAACTTGGCAAGATGAAAATGTTACTGTCCAAATACATTTCTCTTCTCACCCAATGCAATTAGCACAGAAGAACTTGATGTGCAGTTTCCAGCAAACGCGGTCAGCTTGCAGTCCAGGCTTATTTCTGAGCTGAAGTGAGTCAGCCGCGGGCAAGCGATAAATGCTAACCCTTCACATCTTAGAGTCTGTCTAGACGAAGCCGTTACCGCTGTGGCCTTCCGGGGGGGAAGGTGATTCATCTACCTGTGCAATGGCAACGAGTAGCCAATGCCACAGCGAGCCAACTGAACCTTTACCAGCAATTGCCTCAACTCAATAAGAGCCGTAATACTTGTAAGCTCTCTTATAATCACCGATCTCCACTGATCCAAGCTTTTCAGCACTGAAAAAATGCTTAACACACTCAACCATCCAAGACTATGACACACTGCCGTTTCCCCCCGGTATACACTCAGCCTCATCAAGCTTGTGCACATTGACAGCCACTTGCTGGGGCATACCAGCGAGGCTGTGCGAATGGTGGCAAAGTGGTCCCGGTTGCGGTAATAGGCTCGCCGGCGTGCTCCGGAGGGTGCTGGCTGCTGTGCGTCCATCTCTGGCTGGTACGGGTCATCGTAGATGTTTTCGTGACCCTGGGAGCAAAGCGCGAGAACAGTAAAGCACCTACAGTCTGAACTAACATGTAAAAATTTGTGAGAACAACTAAATCACTTCAATGGGCCTTTGGAACTCGATGCATTGCTATGAAATCCACCTAAATGTGGGTACAGGCTCTTCTCTGGGCAAGACCAGTGAGCCACAAGGACAATAATTCTACCTTGTAAATATTATATAAATGTTCTACAATACACGTCATATAAATCAATATGCTCATATTTTATGTGCTTTAATTTTGAACATGGCACTCACTTTAAAGGCAGACAATTGACTTAAAAAGAATTACTGAGGCCCAGTCTGCATCAAATGGAGGCAGGAAATTCTAAGAAAAAGAGTGACTGGGAAGTGTGTCTAGAGCAGTGCTTGGGGACACAGTCGGATCATGTTTTTGGTCTCCCCAAGCTTTTTGCCATACAGCCCATATTTTGGTCCCTCCCAGCTCCCAGAACAAAAACATGGACTGTCTGGGTCCCCAGGGGCTGGATTGGGAAACACCGGTCTAGAGTGATGTTATACCGCGTTTCCCATAGACTGACCTCAGTTTATACCTGAGAACTGGTCAAACTAGTTCTGCATCATACTTCCTGCTACATGCACTTCGTGACCGAAAATTACTGCCATGTGCTTTCAGATAGGCCGTGAATGTAAAAGGGCACCAGCGTGTCGCCGCACTGACCGGGGGCCGGTGTATGACGGAGCTGTTGGAGGTGACTGTGTGCTCGCCCTCTTGCATCATGGCCATCTCGCCGCTGTCGTCGGAGCCGTCCGCCAGGCTGTTCACCGAGCTGCTCTGGGAGCTGGCGCTGATGGACATGGACGGCACTGAGTGCGAGCTCTCCATGCTGTTGATGGTGCCCGTCCGCAGCATGTACTGCTCCACCTCCTGGCGCAGGGAGATGTGTGGGATGTGGTGCCAGCCGGGCACTCGAAAACAGAGCCCAAGTGTTAACATTCCCATGCTGGGCATCACGAAGCCAAGGAAGCCATTACCTCCTCTTCCTCTGCACCCTCGGGGGTAGGGCCATTGTGTGTCTCCTGGAAGAGTATCTTCTTCATCTTGCGGTACTGCAGGTTGTCCAGCTCTCTGACCGCATCCTTCGTGCGAGCTATTAGGTCTAACACGACGGACATGGGGCGCTCTCTGCAGAGGAAGCGGTGCTGCAGCGGGAGAGGGATCGCTATTTTAGTAAGGCTTCTGTACATGGGCACTTACTGAGCCACGCGACAGCAGAAATACAACAAGGCTGCTTTACGGCTGAGAGGGTACAGACAGATGGAAGAACAGACAAGGAAGGCCTACCTTCAGCAGAACATCAGAGGTAGGCCTATCCTGGGGAATCTTTTGAAGACAGGAGTCCACAAAGTTACGAAAATAATCTGACCTGATAGGGGAAAGAGGGTATGAGTGTATGATGGAGCAGAGGAAGATACGGTTTCAGTGAAGGAAATGCCAGTGTCTTCTCACCAGTGGTTGGACTGCAAGACGGGGCTTTCATTCTGAGCAATGTGGTATAAGGCACTCATAGCATTCATGTTGAAAAGGGGGGGTTTCCGCTCCGCTACAAGAATGCAAGCATAAAGATTACCTCATGGCAGAAACCCAAGTTCAACTGCTATGCACTTCCCTTCAACGTCATCAAGAAAATAACAAATAATAATAAGCAACTATTCATTATTTAGCCAGTGCTACCCTGGAGAACACGCAGCCAGTGAGACTGACAGCTGCATGGCTGTGCCCAGCTTAGCCAGTCCTTACCCAGCTCTATGCAGGTAATTCCGAGCGACCAAACGTCCACCTTTCCGTCATACTGGCCCTCATCCATGGCCAAAATCACTTCCGGGGCCATCCTGCATGGGGGCCAGACAGTAACAATACACATCACACAGAAGCATGAAGAAACTGTAATGGAAGTAATGCATCGTTAAACAGTACACTGTTAAACAGTACCTTTCACTGGACATTTCAAAATACGTGCTGATTAACAAGCAAATATTTGGCTGAGCAAGACAATGCTTGACATCACTTTGCATTCGTATGAAGTTCCCAGTATTTAGAAATGCTGAGCCAAGGTGTTAGCGTACTGAAGCTCTGGCTATTAAATACCTACTCTTTTTCATGGGCATGGTCTTACCAGTAAGGCGTGCCCACAAACGAGTTAGCAGGAGCCACAATGGAAGCTGAGCCGAAATCTCCCAGCTTCACTTGACCAGGTTCAGTCAGTAAAATGTTCCCCGCCTTCACGTCCCTTTGGGACAACATCAAAGACTGTGAAAAGGATCTGACAGATCATTATGAAACCATGCCTTCTGAGACAAGTACGCAGCTTACCTGTGGATCATGTTGTGCGAGTGCAGATATGCCAGGCCCTGCAGTGCACCATGGGTAATAGCAGCTATTTCCACTTCTTGTAGTGGCTTCTTATGAACTGTGCGAGGTGAGAAAAAAAAGGTCTCATTACCCCCCATATTTAATCCCACAAAAAACCCATGCTAGTCAAAAATAATGCTTTAGTTCTTATATGCTACATGGAAATCGGTCTAAATACTGGCAAAATCCTCTTATCTGGTTTAATGTCGTCCTTCTCTCACCTTCTAGGAGGTCAGATGCAGAACCCAAGCAGTACTCCATCACCAACTAAAACAATCATATCACCAAATGATAAGCACAATGACCAACCCTGCAGACCACAGAGCCTGCGGTAAATTTTAACATTTTAAGTGAGATGCAACAAGGCACACATTGCAATATATATTCTTTTAAATAATCAATATTCTCTGCCTGCAAATATCAACATAAATGCTGAAAACAACTTAAAAGTTTACCAGAAGGTACTCACCCAGGCTGTATGCTCCCTCAAGTAACATCCTCTATATTCAATAGTGTTGGGGTGTCGTAATTTCTGCAGGAACTTAACCTCTTTGATGATGTCCTGCCATTTCTGCCAAGAAGAGGGATTGTTTAAGGCAACACTGCTGAACCTGTAACTACTATTGCTTATGTAACTACTGCCACAGCAATGTTTACTTAAGGTTTCTCGATTTCCCTGAATGCTCTGAGCCCAATTCTGTGCAACTGTACAGTCGGAAAGCTGGCAGACGTAGTTCAGTGTGGTGCACTGCAATGTGGGCCTTCTTGTAACAACTGTAGGCAAGTTGAATCGTATTTTTGCTTCTCAATGCCTTCACATGGATTCTCAACACTCACTTCATTGGACTGCTTTCCACTGTAGGACATTTTCTTAATAGCCACCACCTCATTTGTGCGGATGTCGCGCGCCTGAGAAAGAGAGACTGTGTGAGATATGCGCACATGAACACACAATGTACACAATGTATACAAATAGGACAGCCTCAACTGTGCTAAGTGTACCAGAACAATTCAAACCCATTCCCTCCCTTCTGTCTCATGGCATAACGTTGTATTTAACTAACATCATTCATAGACTTAACTACATTTACAACATTAATTCTCTTGCACCAAAGCTATATGACAGCTGAGTGATTTGACGTGTCACAGCAACACTAATAGCAGTACACAAATCTGCTGCTACTTGTTGATTCAGTGTGCAACAAAGGTCAGTATTATAATTAAGAATGTTGACGTCATTCAATAATCACCATTAATCTAGAAATGGGTGATCCACATTTTTTCAGTTCCGATCCAATTCCGATACACAACTGACGATACCGATACAATTAAGAGCTCTTTTTACTTTGTTATGCTTTATATATAAATTTTTTTAAGCTAGTAAATACAGATGGGAAAAATGTATGACAAAAAATATTTAATTAGGCTACTACAAACATACATAACGTACTGTTCCACCTTGTTTGTTTTAAGCCTTTTTGAGGCATTTGCAGTTCAATATGAATATCTTCAAAGCAAGTATACACAAGTGGTGAATGCTTAAAATTTTAACAGTTTTTCTCCCATTGGTGTTAGCGCAGTTACACTTTTGTTGCTATGGCAGCCCCTCTTGTATCACAAGCTGCAGCGAGTTCGCAAAACAGTCCAATTAAGTTGGCGACTCGCAAATCATCCATTGCTTTGTTTTGTCTCGTAGTTGCGTGCGCTTTGCTAAATGGGATTGTCCATTAAACGCTATTCCCATGTCAAAATTTTATTTTACATAGATTGCAAATCGTTGTGCTACTGGTTTCTGTTAAAAGCGTAAAATACTCCCAGACCATCACGTCTTATCTTACGCTCCTCGTACTGCGAAGGGTATGCGCATGATGTCACAGCAGGCGGAAGTCACTGTACTCACACCCACTGAGTAGCAAAAGACTGAAGGGCAGCGATAGCTTTCGATTTGAATGCCCCAAAAAACACATGTAAAATGGGAAAGAGCTGTCGTGCGATTGATTGCCAAAAACTAATTAAGCAAGTATAGGAAGTGGATCAGTCACGCATGGCCGATACCCGATCCATCAAATAGGTCTGGATCGGCACCAATACCGATCCGAATATCGGTATCGGTGCATCTCTACATTAATCAAAAGACATCACAAAGTTGCGGTATTCAATACACAGTTGTATGAGAGAGTTGATTAAGATACCTTCTAAAAACTCCCAGCTTCAGAAGCACAATATGCCTGTTTGATCTCCACATGGAGTGAGTCAGTGGGAGCAGAGCGGCAGCACAGGGGTGGGTCTATGTGCACTTTCAGGTTGCCATGGTAATTGATCACCAGCTTTTATGGCTACAGTTGTGTTTTAATGAAACCCAGCTGGTCCTGAACGTGTTAGGGTATAAATATGGCCAGCTTGGTGGAAGCATGGTCAGGGCACAAGGCACTGGACGTTCACAAGTTTTGCAAAGTGCTATATGGTACACGGTAGCCTTTCACTATGTTTTCCATAGCTTTGGGTGCTACCGGGTTTCTTTATAAAAATCATTTTGTTAAGCCCTGTTGTTCTGAGCCTTTGTCCTGCTTCACCCTACATCCTGCCTGAGGCACAGGAACAACATTTGATTCTGGCAATGACAGTGTAATATAGCTCATTTCCGCATACCCCTTCAACAGATGCGACCCTAACAATGGATTGTGCTCTTCTGTTTTTTTTTTCAACATGCCGGGGGCGGGGGGGGGAATAAATTTTACATACAATTTTGAGTATTAAAGATGTAAATGAAAAACAATATTAGACAAACTAATATTGAGAACAGGTTTCTACCCTCAGGCTGTCCAAATACTAAATGAAGCTAACATGCCTCTTAACTCTATGCACTTTGCACTATTGCATACTTTGCATTTCACAGCTACTGATACCATTACTTTTTATTTTTTATTGTTTTTTTAATACTATGTATATTTATCCATCTTTGTATATTAATGTTTCTTTGCATTATGCATTTTTTTCAAGCAAAATCCAGAAATAGCATTTCACTACACAGATGTACAGTGTATGTACTGGGTAAGTGACAAATAAAACTTGAACTTGAAATTATATATTAAGTTAGCTATTAAGTTAACTATGTACAAGGGGCAGAATAAGGAATGGACTTGTGTCTATTTTATTGTGTTGCCAAATCAGTTTCCCATGTCTCAAAATCTGTTGCAATTACAACTAGGAAATTTAGAAATGGGCTAGTATAGTGACGTTTACTACAGTATAAATAAATCAACAGTCAACCCCCAGTTTTATGGATCACTCATGTGATTGGCGTGAACTTTGAGAACTATGATGGAAGAGCCAGCAGAGATGGTGCCAGTCAGAAATGGGACTGGTGCACAAAAAGAATCTGGACTGCTGCTTTGCAGTAAACAAACACTGGGTTATACTCCAGTTGCCTTAATCATCCATTTTGTGTTAAAATAAATCAAAGACTTAGGGCAAGTAACGCTAATAAACACAGAAAAGGATGACATATTTGCTTCTGTGCAAGAAATTGTTTTATACAAGCAAAAGAACCATAGTAGATTGAGAAATCACATTTTCCTAACATTTTATATCCTAAAAAATATGAAGTGTTCAACTAAATACAAATGTTTCATGGTACTATAGCATCTCAAACCTAAATATATGTTATGTATGAGGAAATATTTTTTCTGTTAAAAAGTCTCATTTGTTCCCATTCACCAGAAACAGTGACATGATCCCTTAGCAAACACAAGGCCTCTCTCCTGGCATTTCTGCACATTCCAAGAATCCTTCAGCACTCCTCCCATCTCCTTCCTCAAAATCCTTCCTCTGCTCCACTTCCTCCTCCATACCCTCATGCTAAACATGGTACTCAATCTCCTCAGGCCTGTTCTTACAAAGTAGACTGCTCCAAAGCTGCCATGTCCGATCTCCCGTAGGTCAGAGAAGAGCTTCTCTGGATCATCTCTGTAGAACAGCTCTGCCACCTCTGGATCCTTCAGGCTTCCAGCCCTTGCACTCGACGGCATGGCCAGCGCCTAGAATTAGAAAGAAATCCTTATCATATACTCACACCACATAAGAAGTTATGTAACACCACCATCCTAGTATACAGCTTCAAAACCCCTTAACTGCAAACCCTGGACATTCAAATCCCAAATTCATTATTGAAACATTCACTGCACATGTTGGGCTCCCAAGGATCCAAAATGGTCATTCATTCAACTTCAATAAAAAGTAAACCTGGCTGATATATTCTATCTTTAATTGGGACAAAAAAAATGCAAAGTTATTTAATGAGTCAAGAGGAACAGTATGAAAAACAAACATGACAACATATGCCAAATATGTGTAAACTGCGTCAGCAAAGAGGAACAGTGAAGCTCACCAACAGAGATAAGACAAAACAGAATAGTTGTGAAACGTTGCAAAATTACTGCCTCACAAACAGAACTGAATTAGCACCTATGCAACATTCTCATCAAAAAAAAAAACAAAAAACTGTTAACTTCACAAAGCTGAAATTTTCAGCAGGGCTACCAATCAAAAAGCACTTTTATCTATTGGACAAGGACACATAACCTGGAGGAGAGTGCAAAACTGAAACCCCTGAGTAACGGAAAGTAATATGGTCTGGTGAGGCATCGTTCACCCTTTTGTCTACACAAAGATGGGTTTATGTCTGGAAAAAGGGGCCCTCAACCCACAGCGTCTATTGGTATGGGCTGCCATCTCATGGGAGAATCAGACCCCTCGGCGGCTCTGCATGGTTGTATAGTGGCCAAGGAAAGTGATACCATTTTATAGAACCAAGTGCAGGTGCAACCACTGTTCCCTCATGATGTTCCCATATTCCAACATGATGATAAGAGTGGTTACATGAACACCTGGATGCAGTCAACTGCCCTCCATGGATATGCTGTATGATGACAATTCCAAGAACAGGATTGCCACTCATTCTGGAAAACATGGGAATAGTCAACGAATTTTCCAGTCATGGAAAACACATGGAAATTGAAAGAAAAACTAAAACGTCCTGGAAAAATATTCCAGCAAACGACTAATATTGCCATATGAAGTTTGGAACATGTTCACATGTTCAGGTTTTCCAGGGCAATTGGGAACCCTGCAAGGAGGAGTGAAGCTGTTCTCAAAGTAAAGGGTGGTCCAACTTTAACAGCATCTTGATATTAATATATTGCTAGGGATTTCTATTAATTTGTTGATCTGGATTTGGATAAATAATTAGGAGTATTAATTTACATTTTATTTAAATTAAAATTTTACATTTAATAACAAAGGCAGGGTCAGTATAAAATCTTTGAACAAGTGGAAAGAAGCAAGACTTATTTAAAAGGTGCATAATTCATGTACTATATTTCTGTACTACAATATAAATTCACTCCTGTACTATAACTTCAACCAATCTGAACTTTTCAGGCAGCAACCAAACAACTGGCTGAATCATTCCTTCTCTTTCACTGTCCTCCCACTAACTGTTAAAATGTAGTCTATCGGCCATTTCTCCCAGTCACTGTCACATTTTTATAGTTTAGTTTTCTCAGCTAGAATACCAGGCAATACAGGACAGCACAGCACTGCACTGCACTGCACTGCACACCCAGGGACTTTCAAACAGCCACCATTTCATTCATGTTCACCATTATCATTGTATAGTTTATATTTGCATTCAATGTTAAATTTCACTTATGTATTGCAGAATTTCCTGAAAACAGAGAAAAAACAAAGCACTGTGGACCCTTGGATAAATAGATCAAGTGAAAAGATATTGGGGGGTTCTTACAATGTGACTGAAATTTCAGAGAGAGACTTTTGTCAGGTCGCTAAAAAAAAATTGACGGCATGAATTCCCCACCACCAGGGAACAATGGAAAATTTACTGCTAGCTTTCAAGCATTCTGAATAGAAAGAAGGCTTGGTAATTTGAAGAATTATTTGTACAATGTTTTATTCCATAAATATTTGAGGGCTATCACTGATCTTTCAGTGTGATTGTTCAGTGATTGAGTATTTTGGCCAAAAAACGAGTATAAACATCCTGGTAGTATACCGTTGACCTTAATGCCTCCAACAACCCAACTCTTAAGCTAGAGAGCTTAAACTATCCATTTGTCATAAGCAGTTAACCCATTCGAATTCACAGTGAGCCTGGAGGCTATCCCAGAAAACACAGGGCATGAGGCAGGGGGAGACCCCAGACAGGGTACCAGGTCACTGTAATTTAACCATACGTTTTTGGGCTGTGAGAAGAAAGTAAGAAAGCGTAGTTTTGGACCCTTAAGGTCCAAGAGCGTTGTGTCACCCCTTATTAAGAGCAATACACAAAAATACAAACCAAGAAGCTACCAGTTTTACCAAATGTTAAATTTAGTTAATCAATTTTTAGTTTTTTTTTTTTTTTAAATAGATTTAAAGGGTACAGGGTCAGACATTTTCTTTTTGAAGCATGCAACTGATGACAAGTACACATATTCTCTTATCCAAGTATTATTTGCTTGGTTAAAAATTGCTATTAAATGTACAATTATGTCAGTATAATGACAGTGACAGACAGAAACATGCTGTCAATATCCCATTTAAACAAAGTACATTAGCAGGCCATACTTCCTGAATTTCTCTCCCCACCCCCAGCTCATCTCTTCCTGCCTGAGATGGTTAGGTTACTCTGCGCACTTCCTCAGAACTGCTGTATCTCTTACTGCTTACATGCTTGCACATGGAGAAACAATAATAAACAAAATATTAATAACAAGCCTAAAAAACAGATTGGCAGGTTTTTTTAATGACATGAAATGTGAGCATGATTTTGTCACATGTCTACATGACTGAATACTTTGGGGCTTGTTTTGATAATACCCAAAGCATCCTTTCCAATAAAGCCCAAACTAAGGCCATCTGTAATAGGGCTGCACAATTAATTGTAAAAAAAAAAAAAAAAGTAAAAAAAACCTATCTTGATTCTCATCTCTTTATGATGTCATTTCTAAATTACAACAGTTCTTCTGCATTGTATTACATCAGCTGCACCAAAACAAGTGCTCCTACTTTTCACTAAAGAGTCTCAAGCATCCCACAATTCTGCATTCTCTTTAAAAGGGCGCTTTTCCACCACACCAGGCACCTTACTTTTGGTACTTCAAGAAAATACCAAAAGTACGGAACTTCAAGGTGGTGTTCCACTGGCGTAAAAACTGGCACTGAATGACATTGCAGAGCATGGTGGGGTATTTTGTATTGAATTTGAACAATGGCTGTATATCATAGGGCTGGTCTATGTGCAATATTAATACCAACATAGCATGTTGTACACTTGCAGATACTTTGTCAGTCAGCAAAAGGCTTTTTCTTACTTTCAGTTCTGCATATGGACCTTATAGTGCAGAGTTTAAGTTTCGCTAAAACATTGTTACGGTCATAGTAAAAAAAAAAAAAATCAAGTTTTGCTATTTTAACTTATTCCTTTTCAAACTTATTCAGTATGTGTTTAAAAATCATTTTAAAGTTTAAAGTTTTCTGAGTTTGCAAGTGCTTTAAAGACTGCAAAGGTTGTATTGCGTTTCAGAGACAGTCTATTTGCATAACCGTTCGACAAAGAAAGCATTTCAAGTCCCACCCCAAAGTACCCCACTAGAACTCTTGGTATGGCTGGTTTGGTTACCCTAATTGAATGGCCAATTGAGTGTTTCCTTTCTGTTGTGAGAAGTTGATATGCCGGTCCTGGATCAATCATTTGTTTGGCATAATCATGTTTTGTGGTGTTTCTTTTTGCAGTTTAATTAGTGCAATAAGTGTTTTAATTAAAGAAAAAAATTGTTACAGAGAATCGTGATCTCAAGTCTAAGCAAAAGAATCGCAATTCACATTTTTTCCAGAATCGTGCAGCCTTAATCTGTGGTGATAAGAAATTAAGCTTAAACCAAATATTACCTAAATGAAGTGGGCATTTTTATTTAATGATAACAAAAACATCACCAGCCTAAGAAAATCTTAAAGCTCATTTAGACTAATGCTGTCATGAAGCCAGAATTTACCTTACAGTTTGCACAGCTTCCAAATGCATTCATATTTATCCTTCAAGGTGACAGACAGGTTTTTAAATATTCTGACATCACCATATTTTATCCATCATTTTAAGAACTGTAGCAGTCCATCATATCACACTGCAACAGGTTGCTTTTATCCCTATTGCATCATTGCTGACATGAAATTATATCAATGAAAAATGTTAAAAAACTGGAGATATTCAAGATGTATAAGTGACTTCAAACTGTCGCAATCCAATTATCCTACCTAGAGATGTCATGATACTGATACTGGTACCAAGTCAATGCCAAAATTCGGAAAACATGATGGCACCCTTTTCTCTACATTACCATAGGTACTGGGATGCAATTCTTCCAAACCTGATGAGAGCAGCAAATACTTCTACAAGTGTTCTAATCCACTTCTCAGCCATCCCGTCCCCCCCCCCCCCCCCCACCTACCCAGCCCCCCATTTAAAAATATTTTTAAAATAGGACATACCCAAAATAAAATGCTTATTACTCTGGAACCACTTGTACTACATTCATAAACATGGTCTGGTTTAAATCCTGACAGTCACGAAATGTTAACAGATCATAAACTGATTTTTAAAAGTGTTACTTATACAGATACAAAATACTTTTACTGTAAAATGTTTGCACTCCATAAATGATTTTGCTGTTTGTTTTGTCATTAAAATATTTTTCTTAACATGGCAACCCTTCTGACAATGTTTTTTTCAAAGTTACTGACCTACATTTGTTTTTAAGCTTGTTGCAATTGGTGATGCAATCGCAGTTTGTATTTTAAGCACAGTACTATGTTTTAAATATAAAGGCTACATGCCACTGTTCATTTATGTAATGTTAATAGTCATTTCTTTTTTATTTATTAGTTGAAGACTAGATGCCACTGTTGTTTTATGCATTGTTGACATGTTTTTTAAGTAGTGTATGTTAAAATACATGGGATTGGTTGCTTTGTTTTAGTTTTT